GGTCAGGAGAGGTCTGCCTCGCCATGTGGTCGCCTCCGGGGCAGGCGGGAATCGAACTCATGCGTAGGTGGCTTTAGTTTCTCAGTGCTGTGCTTTAACCCGCTGCGCCAACAGGGAGGGCCCCCAGGGCGGTTTTAAAGCAACCCCCAGCTGTCCTATCATATGCTAGACGCTCGTAGTGTCCCTAGCAGGAGTGCTCCTGGCTGGCCACCCCTCAAAAGCTGGGTACAATTTCTGGATAGAAACTGCGGGTAGGTGCTTAGGCTCACCTGGAAAAAAGAAATGTGGGTAGTCTCCTGCCCCTTGAATAGGGAGTCCATAGCTGCAATGGAAGCTTTCAGACAAGTCTTCTTTAATCCTTCAAGGCCCATTTTATTCACTCATCAAGTGCTTGAGGACCTACTGTGTGTAAGATATGGGTATTTTTCTTTTCACAAGGGCAGGTTTATTCAAGTTTGGTCTACGTCAGAATCACCTAGAATGCCTGCTCAGACGCCCTTGCCCCGCCTCTGAGGTTCTGATGCCATCGATCTGGGATGGGTCTTGGGAATTTGTATTTTGAATTAGTTTCGGGGTGAGACCAGCGCTACTGGTCCTGGACCACTTGAGAACCAGAGATGTCGGCGCGGGGTACTCCTGCCATCTGGTGGTCTTGGAGGTCACTACACCTGGTTAGGGAATACAGGGCCTGCCAAAGTCACAAGCCCAGATTTTCTCCTGGGAGAGGCCATGTAGTGAGACATATTCTTGCGGTTGCTTCATCTCCATCTAAATGACAGCTGCTGCTTCTCCTTTAAGACAACTCGTGGTACAGTACATACCTGTCCACCTTCCGGAAGTTCAATGCCACAGAGATGTGGGAGGGTGAATGGGAGAGGTAAATGTTGAGGTCCCTCAGCCAAGGAGCTGAGAGGGCAAAGTGAACAGGTACTCCTTAGGTTTCCTCTTTCAGGCAGACTTCCTTGATTTGTTTCTTAAAAGTCTCCACCCAAATGCTAATGGTTCAATGTCTTGTCCCTTCTAGTAGGGACCTCTGGTTTCAGTGCCGTTTGAGAAGGAAGGATGTGAAGGGGGGGGGCTGCATGGGGGAGGCCCCTCACACTGCCACCCACTTCAGGCAAGGCCTGGCTTCCTCCTCCTCACAGGGATGTGTCTCCATCACCAGCAAGGCCTGTCTCCAGAGTGACAGGGATGACTGGTTCTGTGATCTAGCATGAGAAGAGAAGGAGATGTCGCTATTACTGTTTGCAGGTGGAAAAACAGGTCACTGGTAGAGACGGGCTGTGAATGCTGCTCACATGATTCATCTGTGGACAAAGCAGCGATGCTTCTCCCCCCTTTTATCTTTTATGCGCCATCTCGCTAACTTTATGAGCAAGACCGTCCTCTACTTAGTATTTGAAGTTTAGAATATTTGCTGGGGATAAGATGCAAAGCTCAGGCACACTTTTCAACCAATCCACAGCCAAAGTAAAATACTAGCAGTCATTTAAATCACTGTACATAATTAATGAGATTTAGAATTAAGTCCAACTAAAACAAAATTTAATTGATATCAAGGAAAGTTTTCTAATGATGGCATTTTCAGTCTCTCTGGAAAGACCTAATTCATTTATTTAGAGACTAACGATCAAGAGGATTATCTAAGGCTTCAGTTTCTCCTTTCCCCCAAGGCTGGCAAGTTGTGAGGTCCCGAGCTGTTAGCGGCTTGTGGGAGAGCGAGCGAGGACACTGCGCTGGCTTTGGTCATTTGTCACTTTCATGGGAAGAGGGGGTGGAAAAGCTGGGGAGGCCCCAAGGAAGAAGGTGAAATTATTGGCTCATGGACAGTTTTCATACTGTGGATGTGTGCGTGTGTATTTTGCACGCTACTGTTTGATTATTTTCATTCATCTGGAGGAAAGATGTGCTTGCATTTAAGACCATTTAAAAATGTCTTGATGTACTATATGCTGGTCTGATGACTCTGGCTAATTTCTATTTCATTGACTTCCCTTATTCTGTCTGTTTCCACCCCCAGACTTGTCTTGTGTCGGCTGTATGCCTTACCTGCTGGAACTTAACGCTTCTCACAATAAACTGACTACATTCTTCAATTTCAAGCCACCCAAAAATCTCAAGGTAGACTTTTCAATACATTAACATGTTAATGGCCCTGCAAAGTTCACTAATAGACAAAATGACACTAACAACGAGAATTATAAGAGAGTAAGTTTGAGGGCAAAAGAGAGTGAATATCTGAGATGAAGTGAAAAAGCAGAAAGGTTAGTGTATCATTTGTTTTGGAAAGAGGGACTCTGTCAACAGAGAATCTTTCTTAGGAAGTTTTGTTTTACAATTAACTCCTGGCTGTACTCTCTCCTTCATTTACATACTAGCTGTTTGTATGATTTTATCATAAGAGGGAACCTTTATGTCTGAAGACTGTAACAATGTCCTAAGGCTGTTTTTTTGGGGTGTGTTTTAAATTAGTTAGATAAGCTTTACTTTTTAAGAAAGTAATGACTTCGAATCTTCATGCTTTCTTTTCTGCACTTAACTTTGGCATCCCGGAGGCAGAAATAAACTCAGCTGCTTGCCAGAGCAGCTGGCAATGCTGTGTCTTGCTGTGCTGTTGGCCCGGCCGCCTGGGCTTCCTGTGAAATGAGATACCGACCCAGTCGGTCTGGGGAGGGGCCTGGACTGATTTCTACCCCCCTCCAGGCCTTGTCAGGCCTGCTGGTCCATGGCCCATGCTTTAGCAGAGGACAGGGTGAGGCCAAGGAGTGGCCTCCACTTTCCTACACATTGGCATCACCTGGGAGTTGTATAAACTGGACCCCAGGGGTCAGAAAGTCTACTTCACGTGGTCCAGGGTGAGGCCTGGGCTTGGAATTTTTAAAAAAGACCCCCTGAGGCGGCTCTCATGAGCCAAATTGAGAATCCTCGCCACAGAGTTTGGGCTTAGTGCCCCTGATGGACTCAAATATTTTATGACAAAGTCACTTTTAGGAAGGGCTATCACCAATGACTTGTTACACATTACTTTTTTATTTAGAAACCAAAGACTCTGGCAAAGCGCTGTGCACCAGCTTGCACATTATGAAAATCTCTTGACATCAAGAGCCTGATGGCCCCACAGCCTAGTGAGAGGGTATATGTGTTTCTGTTCTTTTTCAGCAGCTTCTTTTTCCCCTGTTACTTCACTCCATTTTTATCAGCAGTCCATTTCCCCCTTTGGAATTATAGTTAATGTCAGGTCACTATTCCTTTATCTCCATGAGCCACGGGGGCTTTTTGGGCCTTACGGGGGGCCTCATGCCCCCCGGCTTCTCAGACATCACCCCCACAGAGGCACCTGGCCCATCTCCATGCCCTCTGCTGTGCCGTGTTGCTTTGCCCACGCCCAGGGAACCGGCCCAGGCAACAGCAGCCCCCTTCCTCCACGGGAAAGCTGTCCTGGAGTTTCTCTTCCCACCCTTACCCACTCTTTCCCCAAAGACTCCACTGTGAACAAAACACCACAGATACCCACCTTTTTTTCTTTTTTTAACCATATGATAGTTTATTTTTACATCATTCTGTGCCTTTTTCCATCTCAGTTGTCATCTCCATAGGCTTTCCATCACCAAATCACCTGTGTGCCATCATCATAGTCCAGTGCATTACCCTCCCCCACACTATTTTTAATCCCATTCCCTACTCCACCCCCATAAAATGTCTCTGGTATACAGCTGTTCATTGTATCATTTTCTCCCCTGATCTCTTATGCTTCTACTGTGAGTGAAACCATCCGGCATTTTTCCTTTTCTTTCTGGCTTATCTCACTAAGCATGATCTTTTCCAGCTCCATCCATGTTGCTGCAAAAGGCATGTGTTTCTTTTTTATGGTTGCTGAGTAATATTCCATTGTGTATATGGACCGCATCCTTTTCATCCACTCATCCACTTTTGGGCATTTGGGTTGTTTCCATGTCTTCCCAATTGTAAATAAAGCAGCAGTAAATTTGGGGGATACCCACTGTTTTTAAGAGCAGTTATAGATTCATTGAAAAATGGAGGCAGAGGTGCAGTTTTCCATCTGTCCCTCTCCCCGACACACACAGCCTCATTGTCAACAGGTGAGTCTGCATCAGCACGTCAGCACCACCCAGTCGTTAGTCCGACCCATCCCTCTTGGTGTCATAGCTTCTATGTGCTGAGGTCAATGGTAAGGGCCTGTGTCCGTCTTGGCAGACAGCCCATTCTTCAGGCGCCCCAATAACTAAGAGTAGATACATTGCGGACATTGGGGAAAGGCTTGCAAAATGCCAGACTCCTTATGAGGAAGGGCCTCAACCTCTGTGCCTTCTGCGTGAGCCTGGGAGGGGAGGCTGGAGGCCTTTTGGTGCTCTCAGGGTGTTATCTTATTTAATTCTCCTGAGAAAGCAGAGACTCAAAGCCCACATCTTCCCCACAAACCAGGCTTGTGACTCTGCCCCCCTTGTGAGAAACTTTGCTTTTCATTACCATCCTCAAGCCTTGCGCCAGAGACTGCACCATTCCCAGGGAGCGGGAGCTCTGCAGAGCACTCTTTCTGTATCACCTAGCATGCTTTTGCTTGGAGTAGGTGAAGAGGTTCACCAGGTTGATGGGAACTGCCTGCAAGCTCTGGCCCCCCCGGGGTCAGAGCAACAGCTCAACAAGCTTGGGGAGCACAGTGTGGAGGCACAGCTGGGTAGTGGAAGAGGGCCCACCTTTGGGGGTGGAGGGGGTATGGATGGTGTCCATTGGACATCAGCCCAGGTCATTCCATACATTCCTTGTAACAGGCACAGGTGTGTTCCTAGACATGACAGACAAGGAAAGAAATAGTAGGTGGCTGCAGAGACTGAGTGCAGGGTTGGGGGTGTCTGTTCCATCGGGAGTGTCTGTGCCACCAGCGGGGTCTCCTGCTCAGGGTCCTTCAGAGTGGGGAGACAAGAATCCCAGTCGGAAATGGACTAAATAAAGCCGAATTTTATATCCTCAGTGTATTCTCCATACTGAATTCTAACCCCATGACCACTGCCTATTCTTGTGAAGTTAATATTGGTGTTTAAGATGAAGGAGGAATAAAGTATAACATATTGTTCTCTTTTTCTCATCAGAAGGTGGATTTTTCCTGCAACCAAATTTCTGAAATGTGTGATCTGTCGGCATACCAGGCTCTCACTAAATTAATTTTGGACAGTATCCTTTGAATGAGTAAAGGGAAATTTGGTTAATAGCCCCTATGATAAATGTGTACCAGCTGACACGGACTAGGACCAGATGAGCAATTTACCAGAGATGTGTGACACATTTCACTGATTAAGAATTGATATTCACAAAGCGAGGGAAGGAACTTAACCAGGGAATGAGGCCGCAAGTCCACGCCAAGAGCCTCTTAGTCCTGGAAAGCCAAACAAGGTAGTCATTCTTCTCATTCAGATGGGCTTGTTTTATTTTTCTTCTGGATCCAGAAGGGAGGTTCGATTTACGCTAGTTCCTTTCTTCCAGTTAAACTTGTGCCTTATTTGGTATAAATTCAGAATTTGAAAATCGAGATCTGGTTTCAAGGAAAACAAGTGATTATTTTACAAAAGAATGGGTTCTCAATGCCTTTCAATAGTAAGCTTCTCTAGTGTCTTTAAAATGTGCTTATATATATATATAAATACATATACATATATAAATACATATATATACGTATACACACATATATATACATATACACACACATATATATATACACATATACACACACAACTTTAGTTGTGACCATCTTGAGAAACTCAGGTCCAGGGCAGGCAGGGCGCCTGCTGTCAAGTGCTCATGCTCTGGCGTCAAGTGCCTGGAGGGTTAATTGGAGATCCCTGAGTTTAATGAGCCTGACTCCCTCTTTTACACCAGAGACTCATGTTCTCTGGGTGATAAGGGAGCAGCAGCTTCTCCTTCCCAGTAAGTATCTTTTTACCCACCTGAGGATTTCTTAGGGCGGAGCAGAGGATGAATCAATTGGCGCCTGGAGCCTCATTCCAGGGAAGTGGCAGCCGCTGTTCCCCCCATTTGCAGGAGGCTGAGATGGGGTGTGAGTGGGGGGTCCATTCTCTTGATGACATTTTATGGGAAAGTACCTTTATTCCTGTGTGATGGAAAGCATACAAGGTGTGTGTGAAAAGGAGCCACTGTAGAGCGTGTCTAGATGTAGCTGAAGAGCGAAGTCAGAACCCAGTTGGAATGAAATGTGCTGATGTCAAGTTGGGAGTAACATGCTCGGCAGCCCAGTCCGGAGAGCCTTCCCTTTCTGCTTGACTGTCCCAAGCTGTGCACCAGGGGTGAGCAACGCAGCCGGAAGCAGTGGGGCTCAGAAGCCTGCTCCTCCCAGCCATTGGCCAGACAGAGCTGCTTAGACTCCCTGGAACCAGATCCTCGGGGATCAGAGTTTCTATTAAAGGCAGGAAGAAGGGGTCTCGAAGTCCGGAGACGCTGTGGTGTGTCATTCTATTGCAAATCTAAGAAATCTTAAAAATCCGAAGCACTTGGAGCACTAGGTCTGTTCCAGGACACGGGGAGAGGGGCACCCCTGAAGCCCCAAACCTGCCTGCTCTAAGTGGGTTCTGACATACGCCGCAACAAGACAAAACATATAAAACTTTAACGAAAAGGGACTTTAATGCAGTAAATATACAATATGGAACACAAAGAATATAACTTCTAAATCAAACACCTGAAGTGACCCATCCCCTTGTGGGCAAAAGTCAACCCAAAAGGGACTGGCCCAAAGCAAGGCCTGAGAGCTGCCACTAGACTAAAGCACCTTCTGGCCGGGACCCATGGAAAAGGGTCAGACATGGCCAGACAAGTCTGGGAGGAAAAGAGCAAAATCAAAATCAATATAAACACGACCATAGTCACCTCCCTACAGGTCTCTCACCCACATCTGCCTTAACCAGTCCAGAGTCAGGAAACAAGCACGGCTTCTTCCTCACATGCTTGCTGCTCCATGTGGCCTCCTCAGGTCTCCTGGCTCTCCATCCTCCTTCATTTACTTCTCTTCTCCTTTTTCTCTGCTCAGCTCCACCCTCCTTCTGGGTGGGGCAGGGAACCTGGAACTTCCCTTTTTCCTAGGGACCACCCTGTTACAGGTCAAGAGATCTCTTTTATCTTGCTGATGGTATGAACCTAGTTAACCCATCTTGGAAAATCATTTGAGCCATCTCCTGAAATTCTCTCTGACTAGCACTTTCACTCCTGCATGTAGGATAAGTCACACAGATGTCCCGGGAGGCCTGTATCACATGTTTAAGAACATCTTCTGTAATAGCAAGAAATTGCAATAGCCCAAATGCTCATTGATAAGAGAAAGCATAAATAAATTATGGCGTGCTCACATTGATATACAGTCGTGATTAGGAGTGAAATATAGCTCCTTGCAGTAATAAGGATGAATCTTGCTAAAATTTAATATAACTATATAAAATTAAAGGCAGAAGAGGAAATAATCTAATTCAGCATGGTTGTCTCTGAGAGGGGAGAGGACACCAAGATGTGCTGGGAGAGGTGTGCTGAGGTAGGTAGCAGTGATGGTTACCGTCCTACATCTTTGGGCTGGAGGGTGTGATGTGTGGTGGCTTCAAGAATACTCTTTTTAAAAGCAGGCCATGTATGGGTCTGTTAAAATTAAAAACCTGAAAATTATAACGTAATTTCTTTGAAAACAATTATTTACCAAGTTTCAGACTTCGAATCAGAACGTCTGGAGAACTTGGTAAAACATCGATTTCTAGCCCCCACCTCAGAGCTTCTGATTGGGTGGGTCTGAGAATCTGCATTTCTAGCAAGTTCCTGGGTGATAGCTGTGGTCTGAGGGTCTTTAGTGCTAAGCTAGTGAGTCCTCTTTGTCCTGTTTTGAATGCTTTAGAAACTCGGCTGTTATCTTTTTTTAATCTTTGTTGTGTTTGTTCAAGCTTTCCTTAGAAGGCCTGGTGACTTTTTTTTTTTTTTGAGGAGGAAAAAATACATTTTTTTTAAATAAAGTAAAATAAAAGTATGATTATCACTACTTAAAAATGAATGACTTAGAACAAAAAACATCAGTCAAGCTAGTTATGCCAACAACATGATCGTAGTAGATTACAGTAAGACCTCAGGATGAATCATTAACTACAATCTGTCGCCTTTGTAGTTTACATTATTAGGCTATTTTTCCTTCCAAACATGGATAACTGATGATTAATTGACAGCATTCCGTATTGCAAGTTGATTAACTTTGCCCAGAATGAGTGAATTATTTATTTAGTCTTACAAAAGGATGCATTTATTCTTACCTACAAATGTTTATTCTTACCTATAAATATTACAAAAGAATGCAGTTTATCCTTACCAACAGACATCGACTGTTCATTGGAAATTATTTTATGTTCTAGAATCACAGAATTAAAAAAAATGGTTCGCAGAATTTAAAATTCCAGGCAGCTCTTTAGAGATCGAATTGCTGCCCATTATTTAATGGAAGGGACCCTTGACCTATGGAGGGGCAGTGACTTGTCCACGCTTATTTGGCAAATGGTGGACTTGAGACCAATCCTCTGAGTTCCACTATCTTCTCCACATGGTGATTCATCGACTAATTACTGCTGCTGTTATCTTCACCACTTTAAGTGTACGTATGTTTCGTTTCCTAAAGAGATTCACTCTTGTAGTGGAGAACATTTTTCACTGGAAGGTGATATAGATCTTTTAAGATTGCTTTTGATGAAAGCCATCATCGCCGCTCTCTCCACTAAGAGGGTGTGATGGATTTCCTACTTATTTCTCAGTAACTGTTTTCTATACAACCAAACCATATTTTATGATTGTAGACAAATGAATAAGAGCGAAGATTGAACTAGTGAATAATTCATGTCAAGGACTGAACTGCTGACAGCATCGCCAAAATGTAAAAATATATTGCCAGGCTTCTGCTTGTAAAGTTATCCTTAGGTGCCATGGGGTTCCTTCACTCAGTTGCCACCAGGATTTAAAATCCCAGTGTAAAAGACCTACCTGCAGAATTGTAAAACTTTAGACTGGTGTACAATAGGATGATTTGAGTTCTTTTACTTTTTTTTTTTTTTTAAAGTTTTATTTTCATACAGAACTGGGATGCAGGCCAGAGATACGGAGGGTGAGAGGATTCACCAGAGACAGAGCAGGGAGCAGAACAGGCAGATCGACAAAGTACACTGCTGAGGGGAGCAGCGGGCGGGTCAGGAGAGGTCTGCCACGCCATGTGGTCACCTCCGGGGCAGGCGGGGATCGAACTCATGCGGAAGTAGCTTTAGCTTCTTAGTGCTGTGCTTTAACCCGCTGCGCCACCAGGGAGGGCCGAGTTCTTTTACTTTTTAAAAAAATATTTATGCATACAGAACTTGGGTGCAGGCCAGAGGTGCAGGTGTGGTAAAAGGATTCACCAGAGACCGGGGTGGGGGGGGCAGAGTAGGCAGATTGACGAAGTACACTGCTGAGGGGAGCAGCAGGCGGGTCAAGAGAGGTCTGCTGCACCATGTAGATCACCGCTGGGGCCGGGGATCGAACTCACACTGAAGTGGCTGCCACTAGCTTGTAGTGCTGCATCCTAACCTGTTGCACCACCAGGGAGGGCCCTTTATTTAAAAAAAAAAAAGATTTATTTATGCTTACAGAACTGGGATATAGGGCAGAGGTGTGGTGGGTAAGAGGATTCACCAGAGACAGAGTGGGGAGAGCAGCAGGTGGATCAGGAGAGGTCTGCCATGCCACATGGGTCAGCTCCCTGGCCGGGGATCAAACTCATGCTCCCTGGCCAGGGATCAAACTCATTTGCAGAGCTTCATAATGTGGTGCTTTAACCTGTTGTGTCACCAGGGAGAGCCCTCTTTGAGTTTCTTTTTCCTGGCAATGGCCTTTTAAAATGAAACCATACCAAAGAGGGTTAACCCAGTATGTCAATTCATTGTAATGGTTTGGTGACCTATCCAGTTATATTTCTTCTTATGGGAAAGTCCCAAAACCTATGAAAGAATGAAATCAGGAGGACAGGCAAGGAACATTTTGTAGAAGTTCTTACGGTAAAAAGATGGGATATCGGGGCATCCAGAGCCCTGAATGGCCCAGCCTGGGCACTGGTACAGTGTCACCGTGGGTGGACTTAAGAAACTGTTTCACTCCTGTAAAACCTACTGTCTACTCAAAACTACTTTGAGAGCCCAAAAATTCCTTGCAGTTTAAAGGGGTATTGCAAGGTTGGGAAATGGACAATTCTTCTGAAATGATCACACTTTTCAAGGCGATGTTCAGTGAAGTCTGGACTCCACCCAAGGGACCCTGGCTGGAGCCTAGCTGTGGCTCTGGTCACAATGAGGCCTTGGTGCATGCAACATCTGTGTCACCAGCCATGGCATCTTAGTGAGAGCTAGAGAGAAAGCTGGGTGTATGGAGGGAGGAAGAGTGTCTCACCCTGGTGCCTTGGAAAATCACCGTGTAGACACCTACAAGCTTTCCCCTTCCCAGTTCTCGTCATCTCTCCACAGCTTCAGGAAGACTGTTTTCTAGTTTTCTGATCCTTGCTGGCTTCCCATGGGGACACTTCCTGAATCAGTTACCCATAGTGGTGTGATTTAGTCTTTGCCATTCTCAGGGTGTCTTCATTTGGGGGTGAGCCAAGCTACTGGGACCCTTGTGCTTCTGATACAGGATGCATGACTATGGCTTCCCAGCCTTGACTGAGACAGAGAACCAACAGAGGTTTTCTATTCATCCAGAAATAAAATGTGTGAGAGTTTAATGTCCTGGGTCCTGGCTCAATCATCGTTTGTTACAGTCCATATCTGCAGAGATATGGTATTTGCTCTCATCCCAGAAGGATTACTTAAAAAGCCCAAAGAAAGTGGAAACAGAAAAAAAAAATAGGCTTCAGGAGCATAAATGTCTCTTTTCTAAAGCTTTTCTGGCACGATGTCTTAGGAAAGCATCCTGGGAATGTATTGCTATATTGACAGCAAGCATAACAATTCTTCATCCCATGATAGAATTTAAAAGCACTGAAGAAAAACTCAGGATTCTATAGTTCTTTCCTCATTAATGTTTCCAGTTTCCTATCTCAATTCTTTCTGTGACCTGGGTCTTTTCAGAGAATCTTCTACTTTGTGCTTTTGGTCAAGAGGATGTGACTCCTCGACCTCATGTGCTTGAACTTTGGCAGTTTTAACAGGCCTCACCGCTGTGAGATGCTTTATGCTCTGTGCAGTTTATTCACATCCATTTTCTGACTTCACCTCCATGATCTAGCTTTCGGGCTTCATGCGATCTAGTGTTACCCCCACTTTACCAGTGAAAAGTAGGAGCAGAGAGAAGTAAAGTTGTGCATGACTAGTAAGTAATCTACAAATAATTACGTTTTCGAGATACTTATGGTCCCTTCCCCTCCTTTAAAATGGTGACTGATTTCATCATTAATAGAAGGAGATAGCTGGGGGGGGGGCGGTTAGAAGTTGACTGGTAATATTTTTGAGGAAGAAATGGTTTGTCTAGAGCAGATAAAAGGAAATGTAATTGTTGTGACATATTTCTAATTCCAGTAATTGTAAATTCCTTCTCTGTGATTGCCTCCAGAGTGGCTCTACCTGAATGAAGCCTCTCACCCAGTGCTGTGACAGTGTCTGTTTTATCATTTCCACCTAGTAATTGTCATTCCTTATGCTCTCCAGATAGGAATCCTTTTTGTGTTAAAGATGTCAGGAGTATGTTCTCCCAGTTCCTTATTTGTACTTATGTGATCAAGCAGTAATAGAACAATACAAAAATATGAGAATCTTTCAAAAAGAAACGCTTAAGATTTTGGTTTAATGTGAATGTTAAAAGTTACAAAAAATTGGCCCTTCTTAGTGGTGCAAGGTGTTAAAGCTCATCACTAAAGCAGCCACTGCTGTCCCCGGCCAGAGACCTGACCCACATGGCACAGCAGACCTCTCCTGTCTCCCCAGTTCCTGTATGCATAAATAAATACATCTTTAAAAAGTGTTTAAAAAAGTGATATTTGGTCCTGAACAATGGACAAGGTTTAGAACGGAGAAGGAAAAAGCATTAAAAAAAGATAGTGTGTCAAGAAAGTTCCCAAGGCAGCCTAGAGCTATGAGAAGACAGACCTGCCAGAATTAGAGAATTCTGTGGATTATAATGGGAATGAACCTGGATAAGTAAATTTTGCTTATAGTGAAGGGCCTTCAATGCCAGAGTAAAGAGTTTGAATTTTGTCCTATGAAGAATTTTTAATTGAAGAGTGATATCCAACATTATTTGGGAAGAATTCACAGGAGTACATGTCAAGTGACTTGAAGGCAGGGAGAGATGGATGCTGGGAGTGCCTGTTGGCTGAATTAAGTTGGTAGAGGCGTGAAGGAAAAGGAAAGGACTAATTCAAGAGATGTTTTCAAGTCAAAACTTCCAGGTCTTGGTGGTTGATTGGAAGTTAAGATTACACATGGCCGAGAAGATGGTGAGGGCTTAGATGCCTTGGTGGTATAAACTAAGCTTTGTGGGGAAATGATATTAAATGCTGGAGACCTGCTACAGGGGCTGGGGAGAGATGAGTGGCATTGACAACTCTGACATAATAAAATTTACATGACTTACTGGGATGGGACACACACAACATAAAATGCTAAATGCTAAAGTGACTGGAAACTTCAACAGCTGAGGACAGGAAGGTAGCTTTTGGGCCTCATTTATTTTAAACGTAGAAAAGAAAGGACACTCCTCTCTATAGCAGGTGGTGGTTTGTCACTGTCCATTTGCTCACGTGACCTCCAGGCTGTGAGCTGCTTAGTAAAAGGACACCCAGCTTAGCACCTGCTGCCTCTCCAGGGCCCCCTATATGCCCTGCCTGGGGGGAAGTGCTGAGTGTCTCTGGGAGACCCTGAAAGAGACTAGGGAAAGCCCCGCTTTCAGGAGGCAGCTGAGCCTCTCTGAAGCTTCCCTCCTCATCCAAAGTGAGGCAGCAAACACAGGGCCCCGAGTTATGCCTTTTGTTGAAATCTGATGTTGAGTGATGCTAGAATGCACTGCTGAGTAACAAAATACACTCACAGATTTGGTGTTCTTCCCGGGTTGGGCATAGAGACCTGCTTTCTGGCTGCCTTCGCCTGACTTTGCTAATGTGGATTTAACATCAATCCTTGTTTTCTTCCAATGCCTCCCATCACATTTTCCTTAAACAGTCGTGGTATACAGACAACGAGATCGAGGAGATCAGCGGCCTGGAGCAGTGCTGCAGCCTGGCACACCTCAGTCTGGCCCAGAACAGGATCAAGACAATTAGTGGCTTACAAATGTTACCCATCAAGATACTTTGTCTGGTAAGTCTGACAGTGTTATTCTTTCATTTCTTAACATCATAGTTCCATAGCTCTCCCCCAACCATATCAGCCACGAACTGTCACCGTATTCTCTTGTGCTCGTCCCTCTCCTATTTGACCTAGCTACCTTCTCCCTGCCTTTGCTGTCCTCCCTGGGTCTATGGTCAGCTTGCTAACATTGACCACTTTGGTGTCTCTGGATTCCGCATAGAAGTGAGACCATCCAATATTGATCTTTTTCCTTCTGGCTTATTTCACTGAACATCATTCCTTCCAGCTCCATCCATGTTTCTGCAAATAGAGTGAGTTCGGGTTTTTTTGATTGCTGAGTAATATTCCATTGTGTAACTAGACCTCAACTTTTTGATGCATTTGTCTATTTGGGGGTATTTATTGTTTCCATATCTTGGCTATTGTAAATAGTACTGCAGTAAACAGAAGGGTTAGGTTTCCTTTTATTAGTGTTTTTGTGTTCAAAGGTGTTAATTCTTTATTAGAAGTTCTAGCTAATGTATTAGAAAATATATGAATTATAATGAAGAATTTTCCCCTTTATAGAGAGTTAATTCCTTAATGGCACATTAATGGCTTCAATTTTGTTTGCTCCTTTTTGTGTCTGATGTATGTGTGTATATGTGTGTTAACATTTTCATGCTAAAGTAAAATGATTTTCTAATATGGCATCCAAATTCAATTTTTTAAAAGATTGACTTTTTACACTGAGATAGGTATATTTTTAATACCTATTAAAATGCTTTTTATAATGTATTATTGATAAAACTGCATTGAAGAATAAAACATAAAATTTATTATTGTTGATAATTTACTGCTCTCCAATGAACCATAAGATGTTCTCTAGGCACTGAGTTCTTTAAGTCCTTTATACTGATGTATGCCGGTCTATTCTAGAAAACCAGAATTAGTTCAGAGAACAAATGAACAACTTCAGTCTGAAAGTTAAAAAAGATTTTTTCCTGTAGAGGACACTTTTCTTCAAGATAACATATGACTATAACTGAGTGAAAATATAGATAATTTACCTAAATGGCACCAGGGTCATCATAACCACAAAGATATATATATCTTTGTATCTATCTTGTGTGTGTGTGTGTGTCTGTGTGTGTGTGTGTCTGTGTGTGTGTGTATATATATATATACATATATATGTGTATATATGTATATATATAGAGAGAGAGATACAGTATTTTTGAAATAACAGTAGAGCTCACTAATTTGGGGGCTGATAACATATAGTTTATGGGTTACCCAGGAGGTACGCTCCTCTTTCTTTCTTCCTCCCTCCTATTCTAATCCTGGGATGGCTTTGCTATTCTATATGTGTAGGAGGACAGGAAGAATTTTGAGTATTGAAGTTGATGATGTACTAATTTCCTATGTGAAATACCATACAGGGGAGTGTTGAACTTCTGTTTGAAATGACATCTTGGGGTACCTGCAGATTTGGGACATATACTATATGTCATGCACACACACAAATATACTATCTCTACATTATTTAATCCCAGACAACTGAAGGTTCACTGTTCATTTGCTTTCCCCCAGCTTTGAGCTTGAAGTGCTTTTTAAAAAGGCCCTTTTTTACTTCTTGTAGTGACTCTTGAGGATGGAAGTGAGTTGTGGAAAGGTCTAATAATTTCCCCAAGGTTGCACATTTTCTGCTTCTGAAGGTGGGTTAGCAAAACAGAAATGAAAGTGACTTTGATAAGTTGGATTGAAAATTGAAAAACTACGAGAAGGAATTTAATAATTTGCAGGATTATTAACAACATGTACTTTCACCTTATAGCTGGCTAGAATCTTTTCCTTTTCTTTACAGATCTTTTCTGGACTGGCATTCCCATTACCTTCAGTGGGGCATGATTGGTGGAGAGTGTGTGGGGGCGATCTTATTAAGGGAGTGAGAATTGAACTTGAGAGTAACAACACATACTGAATTCGTCCTCAGAGTTTGCTCCAATAACTAAGAAATCCACGTTGACAGTTCCCTTTCAAGTAGCCTTTACAGAAAGCACAAAAGGCTTGCTTTTTCTATGAATAGAAAAGATGGATTTTTTTCCCCAGCCCCTGTCCTCACCACCCAAGAGGAACTTAAAAATTACAGCACCATTTACAATAGGTAGGATATGTAAACAAGCCAAGTGCCAAAAAATAAATGACCAGATCAAGAAGATTTGGTGCATATATGTGTGTGTAACAAATAATGGAATATTACTCAGCTATCAAAAAGATAAACTCATGCCGCTTGTAGCAACAATGATAGAGCTATAAGAGAGTATAGTGAAATAAGTCAGAAGGAAAAAAGAAAAATATCAGAGAGTTTCCCTTATAGGAGGAATGTAAGAACCAAACACGGGATCAGGAAAAAATAATTAATTAAAAAATTAACAGGCAGCTATAAATCAGAGACACTGAAGGGGGAAGAGAGGGAGCAAAACAGGGGAGGGATGAGCACAAGAGGCTATGGTGATGGCACATGAGTGACTTGGTGGTGGGAATTTTACAGGGACTACACCTGAGAGGAGAAAGCATATACTGTGCAAAAAGAAAAGTGATATCAAGTACAAGCATATGCTGTGCAAAAAGAAAAGTGATATCAAGTAAAATGCAGGTTATGCCATCATCATTCATTGTCCTTAAAACATTGGGGTATGAGAAGATTTTCTTTACCAAATAAAATACATATCATGATACACATTTGTCACCACAATTCTTAATGCTTTAAAAAAAAAAATTGGCGGGGGCCCTCCCTGGTGGCGCAGCAGGTTAAAGCACAGCACTAAGAAGCTTAAGCCACTTCTGCATGAGTTCCATCCTCGCCTGCCCCGGAGGTGACCACATGGCACAGCAGACCTCTCCTGACCCACCTGCTGCTCCCCTCAGCAGTGTACTTCATCGATCTGCCTGTTCTGCTCCCCACTTTGTTCCTGGTGAATCCTCTCACCCTCCACATCTCTGGCCTGTACCCCATTCTATATGAATAAATAAATAAATCTTTAAAAAAAAAATTGGCGGAATGAGAAAACCAATAGAAAATAATGCCTTTTACAAAGTAGGGAAAAAAAGACCAAATCACTATATCGTTCTCTCCCATCAACTTCTTTGATAAACGGAGAAGGGAACAATGCTCCCTTGGGGGCTAGCAATTGGGAAAGAGCATTCCAGACCTTACACTTCATTTTGTCTGAGTAAGAGTTGCTTGTCTTTTCACTCCCAAATCGTGGATTAACACTGTTTCTTGTTTCATCTATTTAAGACCCCAGCGACTCTCCGGAGGCTCCCTTTCCACTAGTCATGACAGAATAAGCAAGGACTGCTTTTTGCAGAAACTGGATGGCCACTTTCCAGAGTGAAGCCTCTGTCTTAGCATTTCACAAAGGGCCTGCGTCGGTGACTTTTAGAAATTGTGACTCAATATTTCTCACTTCTGCTCTCTTTTATGACCGTAGGCTATCTAATTAAATTTTTCTATTCCTTACTTTACTCTCAGGCATCTAACCACTTTGAAAGCCATCAGAGACACTGCAAAGACTTATTATCGTTTATCTTCCACATCTATAGCACCTCAAAGGTCTTTGGGAAAAAGTGTATTGTATATAAATTTGATATGTGAGCATATTTCAAATAGGATATTGAGGCCGTATTTCAATAAGCTAAATTAATATGGATATTATGTTAAGTTTAGTGTCATTTTTTTCTTTCTCTTTCCCATTACCTTTTTCTATAACATTTTTGAACTCTGAATAGTAGGAAGTATTCCTTACTTAGGGAAATGGGGTTAGAAGTATTTTTTTCCTCCTTATAGAATCTTGCAAACATAAATAAAAATAAAGGGAATAGTTTAATGAGTCCCCATGTACATTCAGCATTACAGATTGTCAGCATTCTATTCACACACACATATATATATATATTTAAGATTGATTTATTTATTCATACAGAACTGGGGTACAGGCCAGAGATGTGGAGGGTGACAGGATTCACCAGAGACAGAGTAGGGAGCAGAACAGGCAGATGGACGAAGAACAATATACTGTGCAAAAAGAAAAGTGATATCAAGTAC